CATTTTCATTCATAGTTCAATTTTTTAGTCCCCAAAATTGGGAATTCAAAGATGTAGTGACATAATATAATTATTTCATTTATAAAATTACTCCCAATCTCTTAATCTAATAAAAAAATTTATTTGTTATTTTCATTCTTCAACTATCTCTTTAACCTTTCATTAGAGTTGCACATGGGTAAGGTTGGGTCGAACATCACCCCTATTCAATGCTTAGCCTGATGTATAGTTAGGCATCAGGCTAGCTCAACTGATTCAAAAATAATCTTTTCATGCATATTTTGAAAAATGTATAAAATTTTTTCATAAAAATTATTATTATTATTATTTAAAAATGATAGAATTATCAAATTTACAATGTCTATCTCCATGTTTCCCGGCGTCCTCAATAGCATTTTCGGCTCAAAGGACGACAGTACGATGCTTCAGGTGATGTGACGCCACGAGCCAAGAGATATTTCCGACAATGTTTCACGTGATCTCGAAAAATGTTTTTTTAGTCCCCAGAACACAAATACCAACCAGAGACAAGTTCACTACCTGATATATATTAAGAAATAGTTTATTATCTTTAAGTGGATAAAATCATGAATTAAGTGATCCACTAATGCCATCATACAATGTTTTTATCTTCAAATAAAATCTCAATGCAAGATGAAAAATCAACATACAAACTGAACACATTTCCATACTTTCATAACATTTAAACATAGAAATAATATATATATATATATATATATTTATCATGAGTGAAAAAAAATAGAATGATATAAATAATAAATTGAAATTCAAATAATTTAATTTCTCCATGACATTGAATATATATATATATATATATCCATAAAATAATTGAGATACTACAAATTTAATATTCATAACTAATGTTCTGATGCCATGTGTCATAATTAGTATCTTAATATATATGATCTAAATAAGATAAGAAATTAACATGCATACATAAAGAATTCATGACATGTGATTCTTTGACTACCTTAAGTGTAGGTAGACTTACAGTTTACTTGGCCCTCATAGTTTTTCAAAGAGTACAAAGATAGTAAAGAGATGATTATCAATTGCTCGCATTACATGGATCATATCAATAACCATAATAATAATTAATTAATTAATTTTTCATTATCTTTGACATGTTCAGTTAAAAGATGGGGAATAACATGCTATATGTTGGACCTCTGTTTATTGAGCTTACTTGTGTGGTTCATTGTTCATCTATTATGCTGCACATAAGATCATAAAAACCAGTATATTCTAAGCTAATTAATTAATACAAATTTACAAATGTTATATAGAGAACTTTGCAGGGGAAGGGCGTCTTGTTGCTGGAATAGTTGAGTGAAGGGTTAGGACTTACGAGCCGACTTAGCGGGAGAGAGAGAGAGAGATAGAGGAGGTGGAGAGAGGAGTGGGTCTGGGAGTGTTTTTTATTATCGAGTGCGTTTTCTTCTTTCTGAATTAGGGATATTTTTGGTTAATTCACAGGAAATTTATTTACAACCACGTCCGGAATCTCACAGTCATTTGTAGAGCTAGGGACATTTGTAGTGCGTCACCTGAAACGTCTGAATAGCCAAACCCAGACCAAATTTTTTCAAGCGGATTGAATATTTAAATTTTATTTTTAAAATTATTTTTAATTATTTTTTACATTAAAATTAATTATTTTATTTTAAAAAATTAATATATTTTAAAAATTTAAATAATATATAGGATTTAAATATATAATATTTTAATATAAAATAACTTAAAATTTAAAAAAATAATTAATATTTAATTATATTTTATATATTTTCAAAAATAATTTTTTTATTTTTGTATTTGGACCAAAATCAAACTCAATTAAAATTATTTCAAATTTTTTTAAATCAATTGAAAATTAGTCCGTTAAATTTAACTTAAATTATTAACTTTAATTATTTGTGTACTTGATCTTGGTGAGATTTACGAGTAGTTTGAATGCTTAGAGGGGATTCTATAGTGCTTTTTCCATGTTTTTCCCCTAACAGTATCAAGCAGGCTATTTATGATTTCTTTGGGTCAACTTGATTTGATTTGAGTAGGTTGTGCTGCAGTTTATGCTTATTTGGACACAATTCTTTTTGGAACTCGAGCTATTTTAATTTTGAAATGATTTGGCTCTTTCAGCAACGATACGATTGGGCGATTTGGGGGTGGCAGAAGCCACAAATATTTTTATTGGAGCTCGTGAACAGGAACCAACAATTAGATTATTACTACATTTAGCTATTAATAAAACCTTCTAATTTGGAGTATTGCTGGGTAAAAATTCCAAGGCAACGAATAATTAAATGTACTGTCAAATATACTTTTTCTAGTTCAAAATACAAGTCACTTTTTTCATCTAATTTTAATTTAAAATATAAATAACTTAATATTTATAAAAATTATTTTTTATTTTATTTATTGTATTTATTAACCTGACTTTTTTTGTGGGTTTACTCACCATTCTCAAGCTTCTTTTAATTTAATTAATTCTTGGTAGGTAGGGCTAAGGTTAAAAAGTAACTATGATATATTATCATGAGAATGATGATATAATTGAATTTTATTGATATGCAAATTATAATTAAAAGTTACTTGTATTTTGAATAGAGGAAATATTGCACAACTTTAAAGAGAAAGTATGTTTTTATTTTCATTTCAAAAATTAAACAATAGTTATTAGTTTTATTAAATCATGAACTATTGATTTTTTTTATAATTTTAAAGTTTAAAATAAAAGATCCTACAATTTCAAAGAAAATAAAACTTAACGCTTTAGGATTTAAATCCCATAAAATTGAGATGTGTGAATTTATGTAAAAAAAATTATAATACTTTTTCATTTTATTATTTTTGTAAAATATAAAATCTCCTATTTATTTATTAAAAAGAAAAAATTCACATAAATTCACATAATTTAAATTTAAAGAAAATTAATGTCTCAAGCATTAAAACAATATCAATAAATTTATCAAGAGGCACTTATAATTCAAATAATTGAAAGAATTGAATCAGCTTCTTCTGAAATCTTAAGTTGAAGCCTATGACATGTGGAGTTTAAATTAGTTTGAGCATACAAAAAAAAAATTAGTCTGAGAGTAGAAGGTGGTAACACTCTTACATTTTTTAAGATAACAAGTGATGAAATCAAAAGAAAATATGAATAAATTTCACAATAAAAAAGAATACCGATAAAATTCAACTAAAAAAAGGAGCAGAGGTAGTACCCAAAAAAACAAAAAGAATTACAAATCAAGAAAGGAAGGAAGGATGGAAAAACAATAATAATATCTCATAAAGAGCTTCATGGGGTTAGGGAGAAAGTCAACGTATCTCTTTATACGAAGCAAAATATGCACCATTTTTATAAAAGCATAAACATTTTTTTTCCTATGCTTTTACATTCACGCATTTTATATTTAGAACAGCTTTACACTACTAAAACTATGAAAGTCACGGAAGTTTTCCCATTAACATATTAGTCATAGAAGAGCTTCATGGACTCAGGGATTACGGTTTTTTATAATATATGCTGGCTTTTATGGAAGGCTCGATGTAAAAGACTCTTTGAAGGAACCCAATTCAAGTCTAATGAGATTAGACATCAAGGTCTGTACTTGTTGATGTAGGATTCAAGTACCAACAAGTTTAAACATGCAATATTCCAAGGTTTTTCAGATGACGTAAATAAATGGACCTCTCCACCTAATGGCTATGTTCGTGTTGATGTGGATGCATCCATTAACCAACAAGGACATGCCACTTGCGGGGGAGTGTTCCGAAACGAATAGGGAGATTGGATTCTAGGCTTTAGACTTGAATTAGGAAGAGCAACCATCTCAGTTGCTGAACTTCTCACCATAAGAACAGGATTGGAGATTTGTTGCCAACAAAAATTTCAAAAAATTAAGCTGTTCTCTAATTCTTGGGAAGCCATCAACATGTTTTTTAGGGATTGTCATTCTGATTCTTCATTTAATAAAATAATGACAATTCATGATCTTATTTATAGCAATTGGGACCTTGTCATAAAACAAATGTCCAGAGAGAATTTAAGTTATATTGATTATTTAGCCAAGACTGCTCATACTATTGGAGCGAACACTGTTTTACTTTGAAATTGTCCCTTAGGTTGCTTAGACATTTTGTTGTTGGATAAGAGGAATGTTTAGTTTCTCTTTGCTTTTGTAATTCAAGCTTTGGCTTGCCTTTGTAACTCAAAAAAAAAACAATATTAGTTATCAATTATTAAACACATTTTCCCTATAAATTTACATGTCATATAAAAATGAGTTAAAATGACTTATATTATTCATAATTTATAAATATAACCTATAAATAGTGTGACTCGTTATAAATTTTTTATTTATTATATTTTTTGATAAAATTTGTATTTATTATATTAAATACAGGTCCTATGATATGAAATGTTTTAAAAATGAAACACTTGTGTTCATTAAGTATGAATAACAAAATTTAGTAAAAATTATTATCTTATACTCTCTCCATTTAAAAATATAAAATATTTTTAATCAAATCTCACCCCTAATAAAATAATTATTTATCTTGAAATTAACCTTATGTTTTCATATTTACTCCTATTTAATAGGATATTTTTTCATAAAAATATAAAATAATTTATTGAATAGAGACACTTTAAAAAAATAATAATTATATTTTAAAAAATTTAAAAATAATTTTTAAATATTTAATTTTTTTAAAAAATATATTATAATTTTTTAATGAAGAGAGTAATTTATATTGGCATTAATAATTTGTCAATCTGTGTTGCATAAAGTCAATTTTATTATAGTCGAACAATGAGTTCACGTCAGCAAGCAGCTTCCTTATTATAACTTTCTTTTATGTTTCAGGCAGACGGAGTTACAGAGTAGTCAGAAGACAGAGAAGGAAGCAGACTTTTGACTTTGAGGTTTTACCTTTTGGCCTTTTATTTTTATGCCAACAACGATAAAAAAGTCTTAAATTTTTGAGTTTCCATTTCTGGTCTTGCCGTCATGCGAATCACTTTCTGCAACATCATCGTCTTCCTCCAACTGTAACTCCTCTGCAAGTTGAAGCAAAGACGACGCAGCCTCCATTTCTGTCTTGCGTAACTTCACGTTATCCCTGAGTTTCTCCAGCGTTTGCCTCAATCGCTCGAGCTTGCTCAGATCATCAGGACTGGTTTCAGGCCCGAGGCCACACTTGAACTTCTTCTCCTCGATCGCCTTGTCCAGCATCTCGCCTTTCTTCTTCTCCTCCTCCAGCTGCTTCGTCAGATTCATTAGCCTCTGGTTCAGTTTCTCCGCTTTTCGAGAAGCTTTCTTCGAGGAAGACATACCACCTGCCGGATATTTGGCCTCCTCCTCATCGTCGTCTTCCTCTTCGAGGTGCCGGAGAAACCTCTGAGTAACCACATCGACGGAAGGATGGCCGAAGGAGAAGGGTTTGCCACCAGGCGAGAACACCACAATGGCGAGTTCGGCGCCGCACAGGATCGCTAGCTCGTTCGCTTTCTTGAAGACCCCGTTCCGACGCTTTGAGAACGTCACCAACCTCGACCCTGCGTCCTTCACCATCTCCATCTTGATCTTCCGGCGACCCATGTTTACTGTTTCGTTGGTTACTTTCTTCTTCTAATTCTCTGAATGTGAATATGAAGGTTGAGAGATGTGTGGGGTGTGTATATATATACACACGCAGAGGAGAGATTGAAATTAATGTTTCTAATATTGGATTTTTATTACTATTTATGTTGGTTTTGGGCTGTAATGGAATGGATTTAATTACTTTTCCACTGTTATTTGCATAGGTTGAAGGATCAACACTAAATGGCTTGGCATTTTTCAATTCAATTGTCTTGGATTTTGGAAAAAATAATAAAGTTGGTATATGCCTCGTCTTCTTTCTTTTTTCCCTCGACTGCAGGATTTTTTAAATTGTGGTTCAGTATATACAAATATGTATTCCAAATTTGAAGTCTTCCTAAAATGGATATGTTTGTGTGTGCGTGTAAAAGTATTCGTTTGGGTTGCCATTGTTGGTCATGACTCCATGACCAAGAGGACAGGTTGAGAGCATGCAAAAATAATACTCCCTTCATCTTAATTTATAAAATTTTTTTAATAAAATTATACCCCTTCCAATTCATGATATATAAAATTTAAAATTTTTTTAGTCTTGAACATAATACGAGATTAAAATAATTAATGCTTTTTTCTCAATTTTTATCCTTGCTTATTTATTGTCATTTAAATTCTTAAACAATAATTTAATTTGAGGTTAATATATAATTTGAGCCCCGAACTATTGATCCAATGGCGATTTGAATTATAAACTTTTAAAAAATACATTCTAAATCTTAAATCATTCAAGTTCAGGCAATTTCCTTCCCATCATTAAATTTTAGCAAATGTTTATTAATTTTTTTGAAAATTGGAGCCTACTGTGTGATTTTTATCAAATTTCACTCTTTCTCCTACCATCATTTGGTGAAAATTGCACATTAGGTCCCAATTTAATAAACGTCTGTTTCAACTTAATAGTGGAGGAGAAATTGCTTAACTTTAATTATTTAAAATTTAAAATGTACATTTTAAAAGTTTAAAATTTAGATCACTTTTGAACCTATAGTTCAAAGGTTTACATTGCATATTAATCCTTTAATTTATTGTGTCATTAATTACAAAAAAAGGATAAAATTGAAAAGTTATAATTTTTTTCACATTTTCAAATTTATAACTAATATTTTTTAATAAGTTAAAAATTTGTTAACTTTGTCTTATATTAAAGACTCAAGTAGTACATATTAATTAAATATAGATTACAATCTTAATTTTTTTATAAATTTTTAAAATGTTGACTTGTGCTTATCACATATCAAATGTTTGTTGATGTGAACTAAAAGGGTTAAAATATCTACAAAGTCATGAGTCAAAAGCATCCAATAACCTAAAGTAAGAAAAATGACAAGAATACCCATAATATTACGTTAATAGGTGTAATAGTGATAGATCTATCCAATCTTTTAAATTTTTACCGTTTAGCTAACAATGAAGCAAAAGTTAATAATTTTTTCACTAATATGAATAAAAAATATTCTCAGGTAAATTTCTACAAAGGTTGATTGGTCATCGTATGAATACTATATGAGAAAATATCGTTTTGACCAAACAATAAGTTAAATTGCTTGATTCTTTACAACAATGTTGGAAGCCAATCGAGAATTTTGATCCTCATCGTGAACGAAATCATTTAAGATTTTACCAATATTCTTAAGGTAGGTAGAAGGTATGCACAATTACAAAGACATTACGAGTAAAGATAATCTCCATCATAAAATGCTTGCATTCTTTACAACAAGCCACAACCTCTTCATTTTTTATTTTCAATTGCATGTAACCTATTTTATTGTGTTGAATGTCAGGTTTTATAAACAAGAAAAATAAGTAAAGAGGGAGGGAGGGGGTGAGATACGTGGCGATAAAAAGAAATCACATGGCATAAATTTTAATGAATTGGTCACTATTACATCTATTAAAATAACATTAAGGATCCTCCTATCCTTTTTTCATTTTAAGTTATGGGATGCTCTTAGCTTATAACTTCATGAGTATTTTTACTCTTTTTGTAGTCCATGTTAGCAAACATTAACATGTGGCAAGCATAATTAATATTTAACACTAGAAGCTAACGGATATTAGAGCAAGTTAATGATTTGGTCACTTTTGTATCAAGTTTGATAGTGTTATAAGTATTTTTGCTTTTTTTTTATCACTTTAAGTTACTAAATGCTTTTGGCCGATTACTTGGTGAATGTTTTTGTTCCTTTGCCCTATATATGTATATTAATGATTTGAAATGTATATGTAACTAAATGAAGATAACTTAGCTCTCAAATCAATCTAATTCTTATCAATATAGTCTTTTACACTATTTTATTCTTTTACATGTTTTTTTTATCTTTTTTTATTTGAATAATTGCATTTCTTTTCATTAATTTAAATTGCCATCAATTTCTGTTGCAACAATAAATTATTTTTATAAAACAAAAATCAAGATATCATACAATTTAAAAATAATTGATTAATAATTTCTTTTTTATTATTGTAACCAAATATAAAATAATAATGTCTGTTTTTTTAAATCTCTATAAAACAAAACTCTTTTTATAAAACCTCTAAACTATTTAAAAATAAATTATTTTTTAATTTTAAACAAACGGGTTCAAATTGAGGTTTTATAGCTTAAACCTTTAAACCTTGGTAATACAATTAGAAAGACTAAAACTTTTCCCTTAAGTTCAAAGATAAATAAAATAGTAAACATCTATTTTACGTTTGAAACGGAGTCTTATCACTAAAAGCCTCGATTTCCTGCGTCCAACAAAATATGCTTTTTATTATTAACTTTATTTCACTTCTCTTTAAAATGCTCTTCCACCTACTATATTAAATTATTTTTAAAAAATATTTAAAGTAATTTTTAAAATAATTAAAAATATAATTTTTTTAAATTTTGATTATTTTTAAAATTTAAACAAGCATCATATAAACTCTCAAAATATATTTAAAAAAATAAATAATTTTTTTATGAAATAAGTTAAAACAAAACAAGCCCTTGTATCATTTGAGCAAGTGAAATAGCTTTGGAATTTTCAGTCTTTTGATTGATATATTAGAAAAAGTTTCATTCTTCTAAAATTTGAGATATACTTTCCTTGGTGTTTAACATAAGATAAAATTTTAAAAAAATTATATTTAATGTAAGATAAATTTAAAATCATTATTTTTCAATTTTATCCATTAATTATTCATTATGATCTGCAACTCGAGGCTTGATACTTCCTCTATTAAAAAATATAAGTTTACATTTTTTGAGAATTTGGTTGTAAAAAATGTCAATGTAAGGCATTTTTAATTTTTCGAAATGTAATCGTTGTCTTTCTTTTTCAAAAATTTTTTTATTGATAATGACTTTATATTATTGTAATGTGTTTAATAAAAATAAATATAAAAATATAAAATTAGTTTGAAGGTAGATAACTATTTTATTGAAGATGAAATTTTATTAAAAATATTTAATATTTTTAAATGGAGAAAATAACTCTATTTCATGATAAGGATGGGATGGAATAAATCTCTTGTCCAGATTTTCTTAAAATAAAGTACCTTTTCAAATGACAGGTTGGTATCCTAAATTGTCATGAGTTGGAAATTAAGAGAATCCATTCTCATAAATGCTGCATTCAAAGAGGCTGTGAGAAGAGCTTTTTTTTTTTCCCCTTTCTTTTTTTAAAACTGCCTTTAGAATTTATAGCTTACTCCCTCCTATCTTATCATATGTCATTCTGTCTTATGATTTTCAAAAATATTTTTTAATCTATAATATAAAATACCTGATATGTATTAAATATATTTTTCAATGTTATTTTTATTTAAATGTTTTAAGTATAAAAAAGATAATGTAAATTTAAAAAAATATTTAAATATGAATAAAATTAAAATTAAAAATTTATTTTATTTTTAAATAAAACTAATAACCTAATCACTTTTCTTTAATTTCGATAAAATAATAGGATATATTTTATAATAAGAATAGAATGGAGCAAATCCATACATATGCACTTAATTGTAATTTTAATGTTTTAATCAACATAATTCCTTTTAGTCAAAGTTCAGTCCGCATTTATTGTAATTTAATTAATTAATTATATTGATATACAAAATAAATATTTTAAAAAAGTAAGCAATAATCTGATATATGTAAATATAACACTTCCTTTGTTTAAAAATATAAAATATTTTTAATTATATTATATTCTCAATAAATTAATTAATTAATTTTAAATTAATATTATCTTTTTCTACTTATCTTTATTTAATAGGATTTCCCACTTAAAGGTAAAATAAGATTGAGTTATTTATTAAGGATATTTATAAAAAAAACTTATTAGTTACGTTAAAAAATTAAAAATACTTTATTTTTTAGTATCTAATTTCAAAAAAAAAATTCTTATATTTTTAAAAAGACGGTGTAGATAATAGTTTTGATTAAATCTAGTGAAAAGAATTTAATACATCTTAGGTAAAGTTAATGATATGTATATGGACTTTATAAAAAAAAAAATACACAAAAATGGGGTCCGGATCTTCTCATAATCTCCCCTTATTTTCTTCTCCTCGTCCTATCTCAGCCTTTAAATAATAATAAAATAAATGGTTTAGCTTTAATTTTATAAAATAATTATTTTAATATCATATTAAAATAAAAAGTTAAATTGATAAAATTTGACCTGCGTACTTCACAGTTGTATATTGTTACTAAAATTTTTTATAAATAATATCTCTTTTATTTACTTTTTTTGTTGTTATCCAAAGTATGCCCACAATCGACAACCATGAAACTAATCTCTTAAAAAATTTGGGAGCAACTTAAATGGTTGCCGCTTTTAATGAATGTTTTTTCATATATATATATATATATATATATCCATAAATTGAACCTTAAAATGATATCTAAGGTGCCTAAACTGTCATTATCTTTGCCATACTCACTTGGTTATTTTTTTTATTTACCTTATTGCAGTAATACCCCATGAAATGTT